GAGCTACAGAGCAGTGCGGCCTCTCGCACCTCACTGCCGTTTCCACCAAGAGGGTTGGTCGACCGAGACAGTGAGACACTGTGAGAGAGAGGGAAAGGAGAGGGGGGTCAGACAATCTCCGACTCACGCTCCTGCTCCTTACATGCACCCAATCCACTCCTATCTAGTACCTGTCACACGCTGGCTGCAAAATGGAATTGACTATTGATTTCCCCCCTTGCCACAGGTCAGTGGTGGTAGCAGGCTATAGTGGGCTCAGTGCGAGCCTGGGGTGGGACAACAGGAGCGGAGAGGAACACGAGGAGGTAAGATACACTTTACAAAACACACACAGACACACACAAGCTCACGTGCACGTTCCTAACCAGTGTTTGCTCTGGGCCTGTGTAAAGGAGGCAACTTAAACACATCTGGCAAAAGTAACACAAAAATGCATTGAGGAAGAAGTGGTGATTTTAATAGAAATGACATGATGAAGATTGCCACAGTGTCAAGCCTTTGATTAGATTGAATTTGTTTTGAGCAAAATATCTGGCATCATTCTCGTAAAGCTTGAATTTTCTTCACTAAAATACAGCAGCGATTCCCATCTGTTTGACTCACGACCGTTTGTAATAACGTGAAGAAGTGAAAGTGTACAGTGTTTCGTAAGAACGAGACAAAAACAAGAGAAAACTAGAATTAGTGCCTTGTGGTTTGCAGGAGACATGGTCGCAATCTTTCCTTCTATGCCTCAGCTAGTGTGATGAACAATGAGGAGAAAAATCTTTGCAGGACATAGAGTCGAACGTTGACTGCCCTTTATGTCATTTTTGTATCCTATCAAACATTTGTGCTCATGTTTTGACAAAATTTGCATATTCATTAATTCATTCTTTGTACCAGACGTACAGAAATTCCATCCAGGCATTCATAAGAATGGGACAGACGTAAGGTTTGAAATCCAATCAGGTAATTGTTGAGTCCAAGTGAACATTTTAACAAACTTTGAAGACATTCACTCAACGAATGGACAGATGGACGGCCTGAAAACATGACACCTGTGTTCCAGCATGGAGGCACAAAAACAAACCTCAAATGTTTGCAGCAGAAATATTTTGTTCTTGATATTTTCTAATCATCTGTTGACCCCTCAGGTTTATCTCTGCCTCCAGATTTGCAACAGAGGACTACAAAATGAAACTTTTTTTTTATTAGGCCTCTTCTCTTTTTTATAGTTTGTGCCGGAGGAGCTTCAGTGATGACAGTTAAGTTATAAGTTATATTATAGACATGTAAACACCAGCTGACGTCTGTATTTAAACTTCAAGTCCATTTCTTTCTATTTTTTATGAATGTAAATATTGTGATTGTGAGCTGGGATCTGAGCACATCTGAGTTCAGTCACAGACAGAACTGAAGTGTGACTGTGGCAGCTCAGTTTATTTATTCTTACATCAGATGACGAAAATGATTCTTGATGTGTAACAAAGCATATCAGCTAATATGGTTTTTAAGTGACATAAGAACTTTTTATCAACTCAGTCAGAGTTGTGTTGAGTTTGAGCTCAAGTGCTGGAAAACATCGTTTCTGGGATGGTTAGAACAAAACATAAAGTGTAGCACATCATATTTATAGTGCAGAGCTCCAGAGTGTGTGTGTGTGTGTGTGTGTGTGTGTGTGTGTGTGGTGTGTGTGGTGGGGGTGGGGGTCATGCTACTGCTGACCTGGCGAGGTTCATAACACTGCAAGTACCTTTTAGATTTTGTACTGCCAGGAATTTGCATATGTGCCCCCAGCACAATACATTCTGAGTAAACATCACATTTTTAAACTAGTGTAGCACCTGGTAGAGCGTATACGTCCAACAAGGCCAAACAGTTCACTAATGCATATTCAGACGGGCCGTCGGGGCCAATGTGAGGAATACTCTGAACTGCGGCTGGTCAGCGTGAGAGAATCATTACTTCCAGTACGTCCATGCTCTTATGAGACCACATTTAAATCCACTAGATCCCAATTTTTATCTTGATCCACACATATTTACACACAGTCATAGATATTAGTACCTTAAATATAATCAATGAAATTATTCCTGGGAAACTGATAAAAATTTAATGTCAGTAATAAATACAATTAACAGACAGTGGTAAAAATAGATGTCAAATAGTGGTTTATGGGAAACAAGTGTAGGCTTGTCATTGTAATCAGAGTTAATTTGTATGTAACCTTCTCTAATTGACTTTTTTGGCTGTGACTGATGATGATATAGAAACATTTTACACTTGGATGCACATTAACAAATAGCTCTACAGAACAGTGTCTACTCTCATCTTTAAGACCCTGCACTGATCACGTGTGCATGAGTTGTCTGTGTCTGCATGGATCGCTTTAAAGCTGCTCACATCCAAAGTTCAGACTTAAAAAAAAAAGATATTTAGCTGATTTTTGAAAAAAAACTTGCAAAACATTGTAGCCTAAAGCCGACAACATGAGCAACACAAGCTCCACTGGCTACTAAGTTGAGTGGCACGACTCTCTCTGCGGGCTCCATAAACTTTTACTGTGCGTTGGTCTGTGAACAATAATCCGACTGAAATAAAACCTCAAGTGGCCCGTGGACCATTTTGTTAGATTCTGCTGGGGGACGCCTGCAGAATCGGACAGTCAGTACCAACGTATGAAACAAGAGGACTTAAAACTTTATTCTCTGATAGACTGAAAACACTCTACAGGAATCAGAGGGCTGTAATTGTTTCTGTGCTTGTGTGTGGTCTGCAGGGTTATTTATTATTTGCTGCTGCTCGTCACTAAATGCGTTCGGTATAGCTGGTGAGAAAAAGCTACAGAGCTATTTTGGTGGTGTTCATTGTTTCATCTCCTCCCTTTCAAAGGCACAGAAGTAGCAATTGTTCAGGCCCTGTGAAGGAAAATGCAGTGCTTCAATGTTTGCACATTTTTCAGGCAAGGAGACTCATTCTGTGGGCAGACAAGACAAAGAGCGGAGACTCACTGCAAGGTAAACACAGTCACTTTTCAAGCTGGGCGACACAAAAGCTCATGCACAATGGATGGGCAGCGAGCAGCCGACTCTGGGCATGTGGATGTTTCGGTGTTGCAGTATAATTACAGGGGATGTACGAACACAGACGTGTGAAATAAAATTCAACCTAACAGCCCTGCGACAGATGATACCTATTCAGTTTTAGTTGAGACTGTCAAGGAGCTGTTGATTTTGCTCCTTCTCTGGGCCTTAATGGACCCACAGGTGGAAAAAGAAGCAATTTGTGGTGGTGAGTAAGAGAACAATAAATAGTGGCACACCACCACCACCACAAAGCATGAAACCCCTTTGACAATACCTCAAGAAAAGCTCCGTCATATAAAACCTCACAGTAACACTGTTTGTGTGGCGGCTCTATTAGATTTCATTTTATGACTGTTCCTTTTATGTCCCTGCGCGGATAATTCGTTTTTAATATTAAATCAATGCGACCGCAGACAAACTGTCAGCTCCTCAGGTCATGGAATTTCATTTTATCAGACTAAATGTTGATTTGCATTTCAAGGGGAATATTCCAATATACTTTGGCTAGGATAGTAGTAAGCACTGTCGTCTTACAGCAAGACGTTTTTCTGAGGTGTCCAGGGTGTAGAGACAGATGGATAAATAGATGAATGGATGAATGGATGAATAGATGGATGGAGCCTCCTCTGACAATCCCTGAACAAAAAGGTCATATGAACTTCTCAGAAACACTTTTTGTGTGGCTGCTGTACTACATTTCATTACACGCCTGTATGAAAGTTAATTTTATTACTCTGTGTAGATAATTGTTAATAGTAAATCAATGCAACCAAAGACAAACTGTATTTCAACGGGGAGATTCTAATATAGGGCGGCACTGAGGTCCAGTGGTTCGCACTATTGCCTCACAGCAAGAAGTTTCACAGTTCAAGTCCTGGTTCAGTTGGGGTCGTCCTATGTCTGTACAATGCTAGAAAACCTCAGTGACCTTCCAGCAACATGTGGTTGGGATATTAAAGGTAAACGTCCAGCTCATTGGTAGAATGTAACAAACTACATTTACTTAAGTAGATGTATTTTCAGATACTTTTCACTTTTACTCCACTGGATACTGTATGTGGGAAAATATCTGTACTTTCTGCTCTGCTGGATTTGTATGAAGCAGAGCAATAGAATTTCTAATTTTTTAAATCTTTAAA